TGACTATTCAGTAATATGTAGTAATATATTGGTAGTTTAGATGAGTTTAAAGTTAACTTTAAGGGCGTTAAAGTGGGAAATGTACTGTGACCTTTAAGGCAGATAAAAAGGGGCTGTGCCTGACATGAGCTAATCTAAAAGCTTATCTCAAATATCTACTGGGGCCATTCTTCTACTTCTTCCTCTATTTTGTCTTCGTCTTCTTCTTCTGTGGTTTATATGTTAAATATTTGTTTGTGCCCTGTTAAAGAGGCATTTTGCTGTTTGTGTGTGTGACTTAAGTCGGTTTAATTTGGTTTCTGTGCAGAATTCTGCTGGAATTTCTCTCCATAAAGACACTTTGAGGGTTTAGGTTTAGGTTTTTTAAGGTTTTAGGTTTAGGCCGACACCTCCTGGTGCAGGTGTCTGTCCTCCTGTAGACAAAACAGCCCCAGAGTTCGAACCACTTTCCTTTCCCCTGGGTTTCATAAGCTGTTGAATCCCCCCCCCCCCCCCTCCCTCCCTTATTTCTGGCTTTTCATAAAAACGGATTTATTTCTGAGTCACTGAGAAACTCGGGCCTGAGTTGGAGTTGGATTTGGACTTATTTGTGTGGTGAAGTTGACAGATTTGTTAGTGTTTCTGGAGTTAATATACTGGAGGTGGAACTAAAGAATTAGGGGGAAACCAAAGGGGGCTCTGGTCCCTCCTGCTGGGGGGGTTAATGGTGGTTAGCAGCTAAACAACCAGAAATAAGTAAAAGAAGCAGCAAAACAATGAAAGATAAGTAAACAAAGCAGCAAAACAACCAAAATAAGTCAAATAATCAGCTAAACTGCCAGAAACAAGTCAAAGAAGCAGCAAAAAAAACCCTAAAATAAGAGGAAGAAGCAGCAAAACAACCAAAAATAAACAAAGGAAGTAGAAAACCAATGAAAAATAAGTGTAAAAAGCAGCAAAACAATAAAAAATACGTGAAAAAAGCTGCAAATCAATCAAAGATAACTAAACAAAGCAGCAAACAACCAAAAATAAGTCAAATAAGCAGCTAAACTGCCAGAAATAATTAAAAGAAGCAGCAAAAAAAAACCTAAAATAAGTGGAAGAAGCAGCAAAACAACCACAAATAAACAAAAGAAGTAGAAAACCAATGAAAAATAAGTGGAAAAAGCAGCAAAACAACCAAAAATAAGTAAAAGAAGTAGCAAAAAAATCCTAAAATAAGTGGAAGAAGCATAAAAACAAACAAAAATAAATAAAAGAAGCAGCATAAAAAAATATATAAGTGAAAGAGTCATCAAAACCACCAAAAATAAGTTTTAAAAAAGCAGCAAAACAATGACAAATAAGTAAAAGAAGCAGCAAAACAATTAAAAATAAGCGGGAAAAGCAGCAAAACAACCAAAAATACGTCAAAAAAGCAGCAAAACAATGAAAAATAAGTAAAAGAAGCAGCAAAACAACCAAAAATAAGTAAAAGAAGTAGCAAAAAAATCCTAAAATAAGTGGAAGAAGCATAAAAACAAACAAAAATAAATAAAAGAAGCAGCATAATAGGGGTGGGGTGGGGTCCTGCCGTGGTGCCTTCAGGTCGCCTCACAGAGTTGGTATTTCAGAGTTCTGCTGCTCGGAGGGGATTTTTAAAAAAACTTTCTGTTACCCAGTTCCAGCTGGTTTAAGTTTAACCAAAACTCTGGTCTTTCTGCTCTTTGGCCTTTTGTTTCTGGAGTGAAAAGCCTTTTTGTTTTTTGTTTGTTTTATTAGGACTGGGCTGGTAAATCGAACCACCATTGACGATAACCAGGCCAACAAATATGAGCAAAATCCAACTTTTTCCCAATTACTCTTCGTTTGTGCTGGGAACATTCCCCATTAGCAGCAACAGGCTGTAAACTTTAAAACTAAGACCCTGAGAGAGAAAAGACACCTTAAAGCTACCTGGTGCAGGAAGTCCTCCATCTGATGTTTAGTCCTCCATCTGTGTTCTGCATCCTAACAAACCTGCTCTCTAGCGCCCCCCTTTCCAAATGGGTATTGCAGCTACGCTAGCCGTCAGGAACCAGGAAGTAATGACAGAATGACTTGACTTGGGATTGAAAATAAACTACAAACTGTTTGGCTGTTTAGCCTGTTAGCTGTTTAGTCGTTTAGCTGTTTAGCTTGTTAGCTGTTTAGCCTGTTAGCTGTTTAGCCTGTTAGCTGTTTAGTCTGTTAGCTGTTTAGCTGTTCAACCGTTTAGCACCAAGAAGTAATGACAGCATGACTTCCACATCTGGAGTTTTCTCTGGTGATGAGGTTTGGAATATAAAATAATCATTTCTGTGAGCATGTAATTCCTCCTCCAAGAAGACGGAGAATCACGCTGCCATGTTAGCTTGTTTTTTTGTTTGTAGCTTAGCATTGCTAGCCTATATCATAGCTAGCGTTAGCTAACAACTGGACACACAATGACCAAACGAATGTTCCAGTCTGAATCTCAGACTGAAAAGCTCAACTGTGCTAATTAGTATATAATACTAATATAATATTTAATTATAATTCTATATGTAATATAAATTAGATGTATTTAATATCTGTTTATTTTTCTTTATAAACGTTTTCCTCCAGTCATCTGACTGGAGGAAAACGTGTTGTGGATTAGCTAGACAGACAAACTAGTGCTTTATGTCCATTATAGCTTTTCAAAATGGCGGATCGCCATGGAAACCTTCGTGTTTACCCGTCCTGTGTACGTACGATAGGAAACTCTTCCTCATGAGGAGAAGTCAGATCATGTCAGAGGTCATTTTACACCAAATGAGGAACATTTAGAAAAGAAGACAGTGACGATAAGACATTACATTAGGACACCAGGGAACTAGCTAACTCATTGGCTGCCAAAGACGTCTATAGACGTCTTTTATGTTTTTAACGCGAGTGGCTGGGGGACGATCTGCTAAAGCTTGTCCGTAAATAT